GGGGGGGTGTGTAGCGGGAGCAGAGAAAGAAAAGGAAGCCGCTGTTTCACAACTATGGGCTAAGTGAAAAGGGCCTAATTTAGAGGGCTTATCTGCGAGATTGACAGCTGATGGTCGTTCAAGCATCGCTAAAGATCTCATCCTCTCTGGTTGCACCCACGGACCCGAGCCGGGGCAACTCCTCCGGTGTGCGCTAAACGGTGGTAGAAAGGATGGTCAACAGAGGGGTGGCACTTTTGAACTAGGCTAACTAGAAGTGAGGCCGTTGACAACCGTCAAACGGAACCTGTGCTGGCTCTCTGAGCATGGGCAACTTCGATCTGGGAGACACCAGATATCAAAGAAGAATGGATTGGATGGATGTATAGATGGTCACATTTGCACCGCATTCAGGCTCTTCTGGTCCGACAACCGTTGCAGCATTGAGAGCCACATGCCCACATGCAAATCCTGGTGCCCCTGTGGACCCACGACGAACTCCCCTGAAGCCAACACTTGGGGCTCCCCGGCACGCTATAGAGCGCACCGCTATCGACTTGTAGACCTGCCCTAAACCACACCGTCTCTCGGCCCCTGGGACGCGGGCGCGGACGCCAGCGGCAGGCTATGTGCTAGACTCTGCCTTTCCCAGCCACGCAATGCGGGCCCTGGCATCGATGATGACTTGATGATTCTGCCCAAACCCCGCCGAAACTTTCAGTGGCTTTGCAGAGTCTAGCTGCCCCCTAAGCCACGACCCGCCATGCTCGAGGCTGCTCGAAAGGCTGCCCACGCATGGACTTTCTAGCTTTGACTCGATAACTTTTGCCGTGCACAAACGGGGCACGCTCTCCCGAACAGACTATCGGTTTGGTCCAATGATAGCCGCCGTCCCCGCGACGCAATCTGAGCTGGCGTCTCCCCTCCTTCCTACGCTGTACAGCCGAGCACTCTGGACGGGGGCGGTAGCGTGGTGGGCCGCTGTAGGTGCGGCAATAAACAGGCACTCCAGGCTGTGGGCCGCGTTGTACTGCTAAACTCTTGGCCAACGGAGAAGCCCGAAGGTCGGTTCCTGGCTTTTTTTCTCTCTCCAAGATACCCAGGGAAAAGGCATTACACACAAGGATGTGGATGGAGGCTGCTGTCACGGCCGGGAAGGCTGGAGTTTGACGAGATTTTCTTCTTCTATTTTATCTGTGTCCCTCCCTCAGGCAAAACGCCACCATGAAGGGCAGGGTTCTGGCATCCAACGTGAAATGACGCTCTCGTCGGGGCCGCAGATCGGGAAGCGAGGGTGGGAATTCGGGGGCTTCGTCAAAAGGGGGACCGCCAGTACCCGCTTCAGGCACTTCAAAATCATGGCTCACACGCCCTCGTGCCGAGCTGGCGGATGGGGACCTGCCAGAAAGGCCCCACGGCGAGCTACAGCTGTGTCGGTAGTTTCTGTCTGACCGCCCTTTTTTCCCCCTCTCTCTCTACTCCTTCGCCTCGGCAGTTTGCCTTTGGGGCAGGCGCGAGGCTCAGCGTTGCACAAACACCCATCACAAACACATGGGTGCCTCTTGGTACGGACGCACGTTCTGTGTTGGCCATCACATAGCCACTAGGAGGGGGGGACCAGCTGAGAGCCAAGCCTACAGATCCCCGGCGTAATTACACCTCGGTATGCCTGGCCAAGAGGCTGAACCAACAAGAGCATGAGCTTGGCGGGGCGGAGCCGTGGAGGGAGGCGCCAGGATGATCACGCCCGCCTCCGCCAATATTTTCGGCATGGTGTGGATTTTACGACTCGTACAGTGTGCGTCCATGTGTGGTCCGACATGATAGCGGGCAGGCAAAAAAAAACCGCCCGCCCGGCCCCTCATCATGCCATGTCCTTGTGGGCTCCGACGGGGAGTCGGGGGTCGAGATGATGGGTTCCCATGCTGATGTCCGTCGCGTGCACCCGAAGCCGACGTGAGGACAATGAATAAATGAACGCATGGCTAGCCTGGCTTGCTTGCAACCCCGCTTTGCTGCCTGGGGACGGCCCGGTGGTGTGTGCCTTGCTGGTTAGGCTCTTGCTCGGTTGGGCTCGGCGGGCTCCTTCTGTGTTTGTAAGGGGCGGCATGGATAGAGTCTGTTACGTTTCTTAGGGTACTATGGGTAAGAGGCAGTAGAGCCAGTGCGGATTCATGTCTCATCCAAGCTCGTCCTCCATTGTGGATGAGAAGCTGACTAGGAGATGCAGGTTGCTTAGCCTGATCTAGGCAGATAGACCACGGCAGCGACTAACCAGACCAACTAGCACTGTGCCCAGTGCACCACTATCAGAGGAGAAACAGCCAGAGAGGTAGGTGTGTGGTGGTGCCTGCCTAATATTGCGTCCACGGTCACTGCTTGAGCTCCTCTGCAGAGGGCGGGCGGGCCCAAAGACCAGATGGGCTTGCAAATTAATTTTCCATTGGCTCGGCTCTAATCTCGCACCACCACCGAGAAGGCCTCCATCCTCCTGCAAGAGACAAACGGCCCAGAGACAATACGAGCGAGCAGCAGGAAGAAGAAAAAAAAGACGGTGGAGCCCTGATGCCTATCCATCCAAGCCAGCCCACAGTCCTCCCTCCATCACCAACAAGCCAGCCCGAGAGTGTGCAGTCCGGCCAGCCTAGCCCGCAGCAGCGGCCGCAGCGCGCGGGGTGATGTGGCACTTTTTTCTCCGCAGCCAAAGCCAGCAAATCAGCGCCCGCAGGGCCTCGTTGCCACCCTCCATTCCCCTCCTTACCCGTCATTTTTTTCCCCTTCTAAATCCATGGACCCCACGCAGCTTTGGGTTCCGTCCTTGGCTCACGGACTGGTAGGGTAGGATGCAGACCTATAGCGGCCGGCGGTAAGGGCGGAAGCAATCACCACGTCCCACTGACCAGAAGCCAGGCAGACCCCGGCCAATGATGGGGGGCCCCCTCAGCCGTCGCCGAGTGGGAGCATGGATGGCCAAGACCAAAAGAGACGAACGAGAAGAGCCCACGCCCACCACGCCCGCTCGCCCGCTCGAGAACCTGATGCCACCCTCGCACGACGCACGCCCACCCACCCCACGCGCTCGTTTATGCCCACGCCCGCCTAGTCGAATCCAGCAATCACACCTTGGCTGTGCGGGCCTTTGCAAGAGTCCGAGGTCTTGCCGCTTCCGAGGCCGTTCTGGGCCGCCTGCATCTCGATGGCCTACAACCGAGGCCGTGGTGTGTGGGGGGGAGAGGACGACATCAAGCCAGCCACTTCAAGATGCAGCAATTGTCTCTGCTCAGAGGCGCCCGGATTCTGGGCCCGGGCCAGCTGAACCTCCCAGCCGCCATGGACCCCCGTCCGGTTCAGACACTATCCGGCTTTTCAACCGTGGCTTCGGCCTGCTCCGGTACTGTCCTTTGCTGCCCCCAGTCCACCTTGTTTATGTTGCGTTGTTTTTGGCTGTGTGTTGCTGCCTCCTGTTACTGTTGATTCACTGCGTCTGTTTACCCTTGTGACTGTGTTCCCACCGTCTGCCTCCGTTCCCCGGGTTTTCTGCGAGCTGCGTTTGCCCATGAAAGTGACAAGACCAAGAGAGACAGTGACTTACAGTCCCACATGCTCTTTCCAGACAGATGATTCGCCATGGCTTTGGCTATAACCGCCGGAATTCCGTTCCTCCGGCCGGATAGAGCGGCAAGCAGGCTCGACGAGGAGCCCGCTGTCAATAAATTCGAAGCAGCCAAGTCCCTGCGAGCCTAGAGCGTGGGAGAGAAGCATTGCAGATGCGCTGTAATATACAAGGCACTCTTTGCCATGCAAGAGAGCCCAAGGAATGCGTCACACGGCTTGCCTAGTTGAGCGAGCTGCCGCTCTATCAGCCTGCCCTCCAAACCCCCACGGCGGTAAGCACTCTGGCTCAGAGGCGCTGGACCAGAGACGTCGGCAGATGTCTTTGATGATCTCTTCGCCCAGGCCTCGGGGGTCTGAGAAAAGAAGCCAACAATACCAGGCCGAATTCCAGAGCTTGGACCTGTACGCCAACCACCCAGTTGCCAACAAGCTGCGGCTTACTGCAGCCAAATACCAGACCCGGCCCTATCGGAAGACCACCCTCAGTTTGGTTTGCTCTGCCATTCACAAGGTCACCAAACGATCGGCGTTCATCCTCACATACAGCCCAGCGGATGTCGAAAGACCAGGCGCTTTCGCCTTGCATGCAATACCCACCCAGCAAGGCAGAAAAGCAAACACCCAGAGAAACCCACGAAGTGGTAGGATGAGAGCAAGCGCCTAACCTTGCATCCCTACGTGGCATACATTGCATATTGCTTTGTAAAACTACGCTGGGGTGTCAGTGCAAGAGACGCCTGAATGCAACGCAAACAAAGCAGCAGGTGGCAAGCGCCTACCCAACATGGACCTGCGGTGCAACAACCCTTGGAGTCGAGACCAGGGAGGGGACAAGGCCGAGACCGCATCTTCTGCATGCCGTTTGCGTTCTCGTCACAGCTCGCTTAATTCATTGGTTTGCTTTCCTTGGCGGCAGCTGCCTTGCGGCCTCTAGCGCGCCTAACCCCTGTTCCAAGGATGCACCCTCTTCCTGCCCCTCGGTGTTGTTGTTGCTTTCCCGGCCGGGCGAGGACTGTTGGTACTTTTGAAGCCAACAATCGCAGCCCGCATTAACTAGGGGGCCAACGGAACCTCGAGCTGCGGCCCGTTCTCCATCATTCCACGAGAGTGTCCGGCACGGGTACAGAGACTTGCTCGGTACTTGTCCAGTCTACCTGGGCGTGACTTTGTCGAGGTCAAGGGGCGTGTGTGATGATGTGGAGAAAGGACGCATTGCATCCTGCAAGCCCATATCAACAAGTTGCTTGGAGAAGAAAAAGAAGGGGGGGAAAAGTCGTGGTCGTCATCAATGCTGCAGCGGCAGGCAACGGCTTGCCTTGGCCAAGGTTTGTCCCCTCATTCACTTCTGGCATTGTGCTTCTGAAGCCACATCTTTGGGCCGCTACACGAGTCTAACCATAATGTTCACAGAGCAGAGCCGGATACTGCTCTACAGCCATCCAAGACAACTGTGCTAGACACCGGCCATTCTCGTCACCATATCTGATAAGTGGGGATGGCTATATGCTAGAATAGTATCGGACCCTTACACAAAGCACCAACCTAAGCACGCATCACGCTGTCCAACGTGCGTATACTTTGCCTCCCCTGTCCAGCTAGTACCACAAGGTGGAGGCAAGTCGACTCGGTTCCTACACCGCTATTTCGTGGAGCCGTGCTAACGCAAAAAGGAGCCACTATTCGTGACTGGAGATGCAGGAATCTGCTAGTGTGGAGTGTGGTGGTCCAGACCCGGCCGAAATTCGGCATGATGGACCCGCGATAGTGCCGGCCTATCCTCTTGTGCAAGGGACGGCCCGGCCGACACATGATACGGAGCTCCTCGGGCCGTCCCCAGGAGCAAGCGGGCACAACGGCGGGGTCTGTTCGGTGAGGGGCCGGTCTCCAGCCATGCTGTCCGCAGGCCACGCCGACGTCTTTCGAGCCGCCCAACGACCGTGAGCCTCTTTTAGCGAGCGCCAGTGAGACCACCATGCGCCTCGAGCCCCCCTGGCCTCTCATCGCTCAAGCCCTGGATATCGCAACCCCACATTTGACTCGCTCGTCTGTCGCTGGCCCGGTCTCGCGGACAGGGGGCCGAACTTTGATTATATCCAAGTTTCGTTACTGCGAAGGGAAACCAAGGTTCCTGGGCTTGCTGGAGCAGGTGGCTCTTCTGTGTCCCGTTGCTGGCTAGGAGACGAGTGGGGATGAGATCACCGAAAGGAGATGGGTCCAGAAGGGACGAGGAGCAGCGACAACCATGCAGCGAGCCCAAGACGGATTGCTTTGGGCAAGCCGACCCCATCCGACAAGGGAGAGTGGGATAGCAAAAGGGAAAAGGGGAACAAGAGACAAGAGTTCCTCGAGTCAAGGTGAGCGGGAAGCAGAGGGTGTACCGAGACTGAAAATATGTTGACGTTTGGTGGCTGACATCATGACAGTAAAACGAAGCATTATACGGCGGACGCAACATACCCGACACGGCATATTGCTCGCCTGGGGAGCACGTCTATCTCGAATGTCACAAAAACCCGTCCATCGGGTAGATTCTTTGGGTGTTTGGTCTAGCAGTGGTTGCTGTCAAGGTTAGTCACCAACCCCAGGTTCACCAACCCCAGGTGTTGTTAGAGCGGGGACAAGGCTGTCTGTCAGCCGTGGAGCTTCTTCCACTGTGTCTAAAAGGCTCTGTTATCGACCGCTCTTGCCTTCCCTTTGCTACGAGCTCGGCATCTCGTGTCAGGGGCTGCCAGGCCATGTGTTGGTGTTCTGTATGCTGACGGTTCCAGGTGCTTTTACAGCAACGAGACTCTATCTGGCTAGACGCGTTGGTCAAGGCGAACAGGAATATAGTCAGGCTTTCGTTTTGCTGTGCCTTGACTGTTCTTGTGCCTTGGTCGGCCCAGGGCCTTTTCCTCATTCGTCGGTGGGGGCCCCTGGGTCCCCTTGTTGGGGGTCAGACCGGTGAAGAATTCCAAGGCACAGTGCGCCAGAACACACGGTCTCGACTTGCACCAGCAAGACGGGTGTCACCAGCACGCGGTTCGTCATGGCGCGCAAAAAAAGGCAGAGAAGACGGCGAGAGGAGAGATCGGATCACGTCAGACGGCGCGAGCCGACACGGCCCCGTAACACTAGCAACGCAAGACAGCGTTTTGACACGGACGACACGGACGACGCAGCAAGGACGGAGGGGGCGTGCGTTTGCCCTGGCTGGACACCACGAGCGCACTGTGACGGGCGCTAAGTGCGGTCTACCCCTGAACAAGCAAAAACGGTACGCCAGCCGCCAGCCGCCAGCCACCACTCACCACTCACCACGCCCTGCGCAATGGTGGCCTACCAACAAAACAAAACCATGTGCCGCCAGCAGCCCTCTGCCTCTCCCACAGCTAATCTAAGCACAGGATGCTGGGGCCGAACAGGCTAAAATGGCTGCTTGGGCAAAGGAGGCATGCTGCCGATTAGCAGCGTTACCGTTGTATCCAGTCGAATCATGTCCCGTGGTCGTCGTGCCGTGTCCTTTTTCTTCCGTTACCGAGCCTATCCCCCACGCCCTGGTGATAAATAGGTTGCATCCGACCGTTCGGCCGCGAGAGCGATGACTGCCCAGCTTCATGCGCACATGGCCCCACGCGGCATTTCTCGACAAAACGAAGGCGGCCACGGGGCGGCCAAGGCCGTGCCGCGTGGGGCCTCGCGTTGGCGAACACGATGGGCGCGGCGCAGCGGGCGTGGGGGGAAGAGAGGGTGGCGAGAGGACGGATGGGAAGGGCGCGGTTCCGAAGCCCGTGCAGGCAAGGACGACAACCCCGCTCCTGTGCTTGCCGTATTGTCTGCCGGATCGGCGGCGTGCTCGATCGGGGTTTGTCGACTGTATCGACGGGTGGCGAGAAGGTTGCCGAGCCCCATATCCCCCACGCCTCGCTGCGGCACAGCGGCTGGACGAAACTCTGGCTCGGGCGGCTGGCGCGGCGGCTCGCCCGTCCGTGGTAGCTCCCACGGGGGCGTGCGGGCACGATCCTGAGGAGGTGGCAGTTGCTCGCCGGGCTGAAACCTCGAATGCTGGGCCCGCTTGTCTGCACAGTGCCGTCTCTGCTGGCTTCACTGGAGCATTTGGGCCGAGACGGCAGCCTATTGGCGCTTGACGGTCACCAGCGGCAAGGCTGTCCACTGTCTGGTGGCGCCCATGTATCTGCTCCCCCACGCGGCTCGTGGCTTTGATATCGGCCTTTGCTCTCCCGTCTGGGCGTGAAGGACTGGTGAAGACACATCTGTCTCGAGTTCACGATGCCTCGAGTCACGATGGTTTCCTGCCACGGTCAAGGCCAGAGCCAAAAGGACAAGGGGTTGCTTGCCCAACGACAAACACGGCAGCATGCGGTTCCATACGACAACACCCAGCACCCAGATCAGCCTTTACTGAAACCTCTTGATCATTACTACATGGTCTAGTATCACGACTTTCCAGCCTATTCGCTCTCGGCCAGCACATCCCCCTTCATGTTGACCAGCCTCACCTTGGTCTTGGAGTCGGAGAGGGTGGCGCGCGTGACGAGACCGTTGGAGTCCCACTCAAAGTCGACGCTGCCGCCGCCCCGGATGCGCAGACCCTTGACCCTGCCGGCGCCCCAGGCCGCCGGGATGGCGTTGCCGAGTACGACAGACCGAACGTGGTCCCTGCCGGCACACTCGGGTGCGGGCAGGTCGACGTTGAGCATGGCCAGGATGGCGCCGCCGAGGCCAAAGTTTGCGTCGATCTGGAAGGGCTCCTCGAGCCCCGAGTACATGCTCAGGCCGTTTGCGACAAAATTGCTGTCGATGGCGGAGCGCAGGTAGCCGTGGGCCTCGGCCGTGTTGTTGAGACGGGCCCAGTGGGCGGCGCGCACGACCTTGCTCCAGCCGCCCTGGTGCGGCGTGCGGCGGTTGCGCAGCGACGCCTCCACCATGGCCTGGACGGTGGCGTTGGCGTAGCCGCCCAGCAGCCCCGAGACGGAGTAGCCCGGGTGCCAGCCGACCAGGTGCGACAGGTGGCGGTGGTTGCTGCTCTCGGGCAGGCCGTAGCTGTCGGGCAGCTTCCACTCCTTGAGCCCGCCAAAGTCGGACCGGTGCACGCCCTTGTCCAGCCGCGCCAGCGCCGCGCGCACCGAGCCCAGGAAGGCCGCGTCGGTCTCGCCACCAGCCTCGGCGCCCGCGAGCGCCGTGAACAGGGTCCGGTGGATCTCCTGGTGGAAGTGCGTGCAGCCAAAGGTGGTCGGGCCGTGCTCGGGGCTGTTGCACGGGTTCACGACGAGACTGCCGTCGTTGAACCACTTGTCCTCCTGCAGCTGCGACAGCCAGAACTGCGCCGTGCCCTTGATGAGCGGGTAGCCCTGGCGCCGGAACCAGGCCGCGTCGAGGCCGTACTCCCACCGGTCCCACACGTGCTGCATCATCCACGCGTTGGCCGCCGGGTAGTTGGCCCAGCTGGCCTCCTCCTTCATGGCCGAGAAGCCAAAGACGTTCATCTCGTTGTGCACCACCCAGCCCGCGTCGGCGCCGTACAGCAGCCGCGCCGTCTCGGCCCCGCGCGGCGCCCAGTTGAGCTCCATGTAGTCCCACAGCGCCGGCGTCGTGGCCGGCCCGAGGCCCGTCTGGTCGTTGACCCAGTAGTTCATCTGCAGGTTGATGTTGGCGTGGTGGTCGGCGCTCCACGCCGGCTCCAGCTCCTCGGTCCAGCGGCCCGCCAGGTTGGTGGGCAGCGAGTTGGCGCGCGACGACGACACGGCCAGGTGCCGGCTGTAGTCGAACAGCGCCGCCTCGAGGTACGGGTCCCCGGTGACGTCGTCGGCCCTGTACGACGCGATGAGCTTCCTGGTCTCGACGGCCGCCGAGCCCTTGGCGTCGGCTATGTCGAGCTGGAAGCCGCCCATGAGGGCCGCGTAGTCGTCGAGGTGCGCCTTGAGCAGCTCCGCCTGCGTCTTGGCGGCGGCGGCGGCCGTCGTGGCCTCGACGAGCGGCGCCGGGTCGTCGCCCCGGAACGAGTAGCCGCTGGCCGCGTTGCCCTTGGTCTGGTCAAAGTCGGTGCCTGCCCCGATGACGACCGAGACGGACCGCTGGCCCTCGGGCGTCGAGATGACGAGCGTGCCGTCATCGCCGCAGCGCGTGGTGGTGCTCGCGGCCGAGCCGCCGCCGCCGCCGCCGCCGCCCGACGACACGACGCGCGCCATGGCGTCGTACCTGAGCCCCTCGGGCGGGCCGACCTGGGTGACGCCCCTGACGCGGGTGAAGGCGTCGCCGCACGAGCGCGTAAAGGTCTCGGCGGGCACGAGGGCGTTGTCGAAGCGGACGCTGACGTCGGGCAGCGCCGCGGGGCGGTCGCCCGTGACGGCGACGGTGTAGACGCACACCTGGTCCGGGAAGCCGCAGTAGACCCAGGTCGAGAAGCTGCTGTTGCCCGTCTTGAAGGTGGTGGTGTGCACGCCCGTCGTCAGGTCCAGGCTGCGCCGGTAGTCGGTGTAGGGCGCGTCGGCGACGCCCGCGATGTCGACGGTGAAGTTGCCCAGGACCCGGTACGAGCCGTAGTTGGCGCTGGAACCCAGGAGTGGCGAGAGGTCTGGACGACGGCCGAGTCACGGTGTCAGCTGCTGCGAAACCGGGTGCCCCGATCAAGAGACTAAGACCTATCTTACCGCCCGTCCCGTTCTTCCAGATCTGGTCGCGGATGGCCGGCAGCGCGTCGGCCTTTGACGCCACCGGGTTGCCTCCCCTATAGTCGGCCGACTGGAACGGCCCGCCCGACCAGAGCGAGTCGACGTTGAAGACGAGCCGCTCGGCGCCCGGCGGGCCAAAGGGCATGGCACCCAGCCGGCCGTTGCCGAGCAGGTAGGCCGTCTTGAGGACGTAGCCGTCGTCGTGCGAGCCCCTGGAGCCGTGCGTCGCCGGCCTCGTCGACCACAGCGACCGCGCCTCGGCGAGGCCGGCAAGCGCGGCCGCGGCGCCTGCGAGAGCGCCTATGGAGCGGACCATCTTTTTTCGAAGAGGGCGTCTGGGTCTGGTCGGCGAGAGACGAGATGAAAGACAAAGAAAGGAGGAGTAGACGCCGCGGCGGCGTAGGGGTTGGCAGTGCCACGGCCTTGTATATATGTTTACATCACGACTCGCCCGCTAGCTATTGCTACGGTAGATATAGATGGATAGATCCTGGCTGTCCATGTGGGCATGATCAAATCACTCCCCAGTTTTCCATCAGCGACCTAGGCATTCCACTCTCTCTCCGACTTTCCCGAGTCAAAGTCCCGTCGGCTCTCTCTCGAGCAGGCAGGCGGCTCAGAACAATCTCCACCGCAATCAATCCCCGTCCGTCACACCGGCCGACGGCTGCCCGCGAGTGCGACGTCACGGCCAGGGGCTAGCGTGAAGCGAAGGCGGCCGGATTGGCGGCGCTTACGGTGCCTGTCGCTACCTCGTCCCGGCGCGGGAAGTGCAGGGTGGGGGAAGCGCGTGTTCTGTCTTTTGTCTTTGTCTTGTCTGGCCTTGGTTTATCTTGTCTCGCCTTGTCTTGTCTTGTTTTTGTTTTGTATTGTCTTTGTCCGCCCCGATAAAAAGAGGAGGGCTTCGGGTGTTGCCAGGCGCATCCCTCGCCCGCCCGCCCGCTCGCTCGCTGGATAGTTAGCCACCTCCCTAGTTGGGGAAACTGGGGACTGTGGGCTTCGGTGCAACGTCGTCGCGTACGTCGCTGCGGGGATCCCCACACCGTGATGCTGTTTCCCCGCACTCGCTGGCTGGGCTGGCCGTTGCTGTAGATATGGGTGAGGGAGGAAGGGAGGTGAGAGTGCTGTCGTGTCACATGCCGTCAGGCCGCTGCGCTCAGGTCGGTGTGGCTGGCGCGGGTGCAGGGTAGGTGGTTGGCATAGTTTGGTGGGAAAAAAGAAAACTGCAGGTGATGAGAACCCAGACTTTCTTCTTCTTCCCTTCTATCCCAAGACGTAGGTAGAATCGTCGCCGTCCCTGTCAGCTTATGCCATGCCAAAAGGCCCGGCGGCTCAAGACTTTTGCCGGCCGCGGTCCCGCTGCTGGTGAAGAATCCGTCATTAGCCGACATCACCCGACTCGACTTCTTTCCAGCTCAACTTCCAAGGCATCACCACTCAAGGATATGTGCATCACTGGCTGATAAATATGTAGAAAAGAAGTGGCTTGATTGACTTATGCGGAGAGATAGACGGACAACGGAGATATATACTCGGAAAACGAGCCAGTTAGGAAAATGAATGTAAGAAAAAAGGGGTGGACTCTGTGATGCCAATGCTCGAGAAATTCCGGGCTTTCGTTCCTTCGGAGGATCGAGCGCCGCCGCCGCAGTCGGGAGAGGGGACGGAGGAGAAACAGGACGTCATCCCGTTCCCGATTTAGCTCGCTAGAGAAAGCTCAACCATGGTTGAGCGTCCCACACACGGCGTCTTTGCCCTGCCCTGCCCCTGCCCCTGCCCTGCCCTGCTCCGCACACGGCCCACTCACTCTGCCCGCCGCTCACTTCTTGCAGGGGCGCCAGAAGAGGTTGAGCTGCTGCGTAAAGGCGACGGTGGCGTCGTCGTCCGAGATGATGCCCGTGGCCTTTGAGTTGCTGCCCTTGTTGACGAGGCTGATGCGGTTGTTGATGTTGAGGATGCCGTTGGCGCCGCAGGGCGAGTAGATGTAGCTCGACGTCGGGATGCTGTCGGCCTTGGTGTAGACCTGCCCCTGGGCCCAGACGCCGCCGCCCGAGATGGACGTCTTGGTGGTCGTGGTCGAGGGCGCGTCCTGCGAGAAGTAGTAGGTCGAGTAGAAGTCGCCCTGGATGCCCGCGTCGAGCTGCGCGTAGCCGTGGTACGTGCTGTCCACGACGGCGAACTGGAACCCCGTCGGGTACCGGAGGTTGAGGTGCAGCTGGCAGTTCTTGGTCCGCTCCTTGGGGTCGTAGCCGGGGCCGATGTAGGTCTGGAAGGCGTCGAAGCCGAAGGTGATGACCTGCGTATTTGTTTTGTGAGCGCGCGTTAGCTTTTGGTCTGGATGTCTGGTTGCAACGGATGGAGAAAAAAAAAGAACTAACAGTGCGGTCCGGCGAGATGCTGGTCGAAACCGTGCCCTGGGGGCAGCCGTTGCCCGAGAAGCTGGCGCTGACGATCTGGATCTGCTTGGGGTCCGGGCCGTCGGCCTGGCCGGCGCCGCCCTTGGGCAGGTTCACCGGGGTGGCGGCAGCCAGGGCGGGGAGGAGGAAGGCGGTGAAACGCATTCTGACGGTGGGCGCTTGTTTTCTGACTGGCTCGTCTGGGTAGAGATCAAGGTGCCAATGCGTGCGTGCGTGCGGCAGAGAAGAGACCTGTCAGGCTGGAGCGGGTTGCTGGAGCTGGTGGTTGAGGTGAGAGGCAAGATGGTTGTCGAGATCTCGGTCGACGGGTGCCGTATTTATATTCCTTTTTCGCGCGATGCTGTCTCGGTTTCGGCCTTGATGCCGCCCGCCTCGGACCAGACCATAGTATCTGCTAGGTCCTTGCTATTCCTGTCACTCTCCCGTCGTCCCTTTCCAAGGACGCCCCTGGCGAGACCACAGGGATCCAGAGCAGCCCCAAGCCAAGCAACGGGCGGTTCTGTCGTCCGAGGCGAGCAGAGCAAGCTTAGCCTCGATGGGCGGCCAGCCGGAAGGGCGGATGCCAATCTCGATGCAGCCTCAGCAGCGGTGGGGATGCGAGGCAGGCAAGCGATCCAGCCCAGCGGCACACATTCCTTGGGGGCGTGGGCATGGCATCTAGCCCCGACGGGGAAAGCGAGGAGCTGGCGCCGATATCGTTTAGATTGGGGTCTAAATTGGTCACCGTTGGCCCTACAGTGTCATCGGGCCCTCAGCCTCGGAGCTGCTTGTGGCCGTGGCTGGAGGGCAGGGCGCGTCCTCAGCACCGGGCTGGCCGTGGCCGCCCGCCGATGTCGTCTTGTTTTCGCCTCCCCATCCAGGCAGGGCCGATCCATGGTTCCAGTCCCCAAGGTAGCGTGTGCGTGGCGCCAGCGCCTGCAGCAGACCCTGCTGCTACATCAGCCTCCGCTCCGTCTGACCCCGCCGTAACGACCGCTGGTTCGGAACGCCCTCGTCGTGTCGTTCGTTTGTCGCTGCAAATTTGCGGATGAAAAGGAAGGATAAATGAAACCCATATTAAGGCGGGACCTGGCTAGCTCTTATGGCGCTGCTGGCCTGGCACCTCCCGAAATGGAAACGCTCCTCAGCAGCTCGGAGGACTTGGCCAAGGAAGCGAGTTGGCTCCGCTTGGCGGTGTCCTGGGAGCTGGGTTGCTGCTGTCTGGGACTCCCGCTCACGCAATATCTCTGCCCCTCTCCCGGGCGCGTCCATCCACCGGCCTCGACGCTTCGAGTTCATGCGGCATGCGCAGCTTTGGGCGACGGCACGCTGCCTACATCTTTTTATAGAACCTCGGCAGGCTAAACCTCGTGTGATTCGACCGGGTTTGAAGACGCCCTCGTAATCGTGGGCCGTGGGTGCGTTGCTGTCCTTTGCGGGAGAATGTGGCTATGGTCGAGAACGGCTGCCTGTCCAAGGTGCGCAGAAGTCTCCCATTTGATCGCTCCGCGTCCTACGGAGAGTCCCGCTATCTGAAGCAGAAGCAGCGAGACAGTAGCCCATGTCTTTCCAGGTGTGAGCCCGAGGTGTAGTCAGGGCGGTGCCTAGGAGAAGCTTCGTCTGCAAGGCGACCTCGGAGCCGCCTCGTCTCGTCTGGCTTGCAGTTTGTGTGGTTTATCCGGTTCAGGGTGGTCGTTTGGCCAAATCCGACGTCCCCAACATGCTGCTTGTGTGCCGTAATATCTCGTTGTCAATGCCCACCTGCTCTCGGCGGCTTCCGGCATTGGAGGCCTGCAGAGCTTCTCGTGTTCCTCGAGGTCGACGTCCCCGCGGAAGGGCCGAGTAGCTTGATCGAGTCTGGGCAGGTCGAGATCTCGGTGCTCTGGTCAGGAGCTGAAGGGGTTTCTATTTTTGTGGCAGGGCCAACCTTGGTTGACTGGCCCGTGTTCATTAGTCGACAGCTTGGCGACCTGCAGACGCGACGTGGTATGCATACCCATCAGGCACCACCTCCCTGCGCCGATCCCTGCCGGCCTGGCATGGTTTGACTCGCTTCCTGACCAACTCGGCGCTTTCGGCCACGGCGGCCTGCCGCTGCCGCATGGCAGGCTGCCAACCGCCCCGCGGGCATCCCATGAGAGTGCCAACTGATGACTTCTACCCCGGACGCAGACACCACTAGTTGCTTTTGCTTCCCGACGTCTTCCGGAGAATTTCCCAGTCTCACTTGTCCCAGCTTCTGTGTAACCCTCCTGTATGCTTGTGTGTGTGGGCGAGACCAACGAATGGTCAACAACCTTTCTTGGCCCTCGTGGCAGCAGTCTGCCGGCGAGCCCTCGGATTTCTTCCTGCGGATTGTATGAACACCATATTAGCCCCCGTTAAGGATATTCCAATTTTAGCTTCAACATGCGAGATTCTTTGGACGGCTGGCATCCAGCTGACAGGCCATCGCAGCAAACGAACTGCGGAGTAGAAAAGAAACATCTCGCCGTCCTAGGGGTTGGAGAAAAGTGTCCCAACTCGGATCGGAACGAAAGAATCAGCCCCGAAGACTGAGCACCAGCCTCTTCCCGACTGTTGTTGTTGTTGTTGCTCAGGCCTCCTACTACAGCCGTCCCTGTTCCGCCTGTCAGGGGCAAGGTGACATCCCATTCCGACAGCGTTGGGGCGGCAGCATGGCTGGCAATCAACCGAAATCAGCTGTGGCAAAGGACACTTCCGCATCCTCTTGGTGCCGTATACTGCGCGGCAAAGCCGCCCGCCCTGTCGAGAAGTGGTGGCCACGGAAGACCGGGCGCATATTGCAAAGGTCACCCGACTCGTCTTTGTTCGGCTGAGGGCCATCGGGGTACCCGCGTTCGAAAGGAGATCCGTTGTCGGGACGGGCGGGCAATCCCACCAATGGGGTGTTCGGTACCGTCGCGCTGCGTTGTTTGTGGCGGCCTGCTTTCAATGGGGGAGTCTGGCCGCATATGGACTTTTGGCTGTATTCTTGTTAGCCAGGGACGTGGAATGCTCAACCTGGGGATAAGAATAGAAACACCGGCCGGCAAAAATCGTAAGATGCCACCCGGGGGCGGTTCGAGATTGAACTCCCACTCGCTGTCTCATCCACCACCGGTTCACTTTCCACGTATAATCACCCAGGCCGAGGTGGTCAGCAGCATCTGTCGAAAGCCAGGCTTTGCATGCAGTCAGCAACGAGCTCTGCTGGAATTATGCCGTAATTTGGGGAACCGAGGGAGTGAGCAAACTAATGGCACTCGGTGCTTGATCATCCGATGAGCAAAGTCCGATTCAATGAAGCGAGCGTATTAGCTTCTCTACCAGGGCTAGTCTTCATACATCATGGCGAGCCATTGATCCGTGGGATTCCAGTCCGAGTGGGCGTTTTGGAGTTGGTAATATCGGAGAGAGAGAAACAGATGGAGGGAAGCGTGTCCAGGGTTAATGATATGGTATTTCCATTTTTAGCATATGGCACATGATACAGTCGCCGTTGCTAGCAGACGTCAAGTGCTCCGCATTTCCGTCATCTCTCGGCCCGTCAGGTTCTTCGTCGGCCGCTCGTTGTGTCGCCACCTAGGCAGACTCGCCGACCTGCTTCAGGATGCCCGCGAGGTTTATGCTCTTGGGCCTCTCGATGGGCAGGCCAAGGGCGCGGTCCCAGATGAGCTGGGCCAGCGGCCCCAGGCCGCGGCTCACACCGAAAGTGGCCGTGTAGTAGAGCGTCTCGTGGAAGCCGTAGTGGTGGAACAGCACGCCCGAGCTCGAGTCCACGTTGGGGTACGGGTTCTTTGTCTTGCCGTGCTTCTTGAGCACCTCGGGCGCCACCTCACTGTTGAGCTGCACAAGCTTGAAGACAGGGTCGCGCGCGATCTCGGGGCGTGATGCCGCGTAGTCCATCAGTGCCTGGAAACGGGGGTCCGGCTTGCGCAGGACTGCGTGGCCGTATCCAGGGACAACACGGCCCGAGTTGAGGGTCGACCACAGGTAGTCGTGGACGTCCTTCTCGGTATATTCGGCGGGGATCGCGTCCTTCATTTGGATGATCCATCGAAGAACCTCCTGGGCGGCGAGACTATAGACGAACCTCGTGTGTTAGCACTGGCGTTTCTAGCTGGCTGCCGCTATGCAAAGCCGGTCACTTACCCATGAAGAGGCCCGGCTAGTCCCTGAAGGCCAGCGCTGTAGCTGAGGAATGGGTCGCTCAGAGCACTGCCGACAAGGTGTGTTGCGTGTGCGGATACGTTGCCACCCTCGTGGTCGCCGTGGAGAGCCAGGTACAGACGGAGGAGATCCTGGAAGTTCTCATTCTCTTTGCCGCCCTTGCCGAGCATGGCAGCGAAGTTGTAGGACCAGTCCTGCTCCAGGTCAACCTCGGCGGGCAGAGCACCGCCACCGCGGTATGAGTTCTGGTAGATCTTGGCAGCGATGGTGGGCAGCTTGGCAAGCAGGCTGATGCAGTCGTCAAAGGTGGGCTCCCAGTAATCGGCCTTATTGAGCCCAGCCTCGTACGCCTTTGCGAACTTGGAGGTGTAGTTGAGAGAGGACACGGCGATGGCGAACTGGGTCATGGGGTGTAGGTCTTTGGGGAAATCGTCGAGCATCTTGTTGACGAAGGCGGGAAGGGCGGCCTGCTCGGCCAGCTGGCGGGACAGGACGCGGACTTGGTTTGTGCTCGGGACGCGGCCCGTCAGGAGCAGCCAGAACATGGCCTCTGGCAGCATCTCGGTGCCCGTCTTGCCCTTGGGCAGCTCGCGTTGGCAGTCCTTGATTGTGCGGCCGTGGAAGCGGATGCCCTCGTCGGCGTCGAGCACGGAGCCTTCCCAGACCATGGCCTTGAGCCCGCGCATGCCGCCGATGGTGTTCTCGACCTTGACCTCGCCAATGACCTTGGAGCCGTGGGCCTTGACCTTCTTGAGGAGCTCCCGCTTGGCCGGGATGACCTCCTTCAGGGTTGTCTTGAGATCGGGCTCGGAGCTGGCCGAGTAGTGCCTGCTGGATCGAACGCGGAGAGAGCATGCCGGGCGGGAGACGAGGGGCTAGAAACGCGTTGTTCATTGGGTGTCAGCTGGTGGGCTGCGAGATGAGTATTTTTTTAGGGCTTGACAACCGAGGAAGAGCTTACCCTCAGTGACCCGAAGGCCCTCGATGTTGTCCTCATACTCATCGTGCAGTTCGTTGTGTGCGAGGATTAGAGTAGTCCGTTGACAAGCTCAAGAGCTGGGGGGAGCTAGAGGAAGAACTGGAAGTTAGACGAGACTGTAGGATGCGGGGTTTTGACGGGAATGGCGGACCTGGGGACGTGTTTCGTCGCGACCAAGGCAGACCGGGTTTTTTTGGCCAGCGATTGAGGTGACCGAGGCTGGTTGCACGACTTGAAATATCGACAACGGGAAAGAACAAATAGGCGGGCAACCGAAATTCAAGCCCTGAGCGCTGCAGGAACATGCATAAAAGATGTCAACCTCGGACGAGCCTCAGAGGCCGAGGCCAGAGCAACCCTTCATGCCTCTTTCTCTGTGCTCCCTTCAGTCCGGCCAACGTCTTGGCTGCCCCTCCTCAGTGTGAGGGTCGGTTCAGTGCTGGGGCATGAGAGCCGAGGAAAGCCGCTTTGGTGCTGATGCCTGTGCCAGTTTGGGCAGGGATTCGGCTGGGGTGGGAGTGCATTGTCCAATGCTTGAGCCTAGGATTGGTGCTCCCCGCATCTCTGGGCGGAGAAATGGAGAACCCCCAGGCTCTGACCCCTGAGCCTCGGCTCAAGCCAGCGGAAGCGGAGAGTCACCACTTTTTTTTTGTAGAGAGAACACTTGACAGCATTACTCAGCTGCTACAGTTAGTTATGCCTGTTATGAAAGATGAAAGAGAAGCCAAAACTCGCTCGTCCCCGCGTTGGCGTCACAGCCCGAGCTCGGCCATCAGCGTCATAGCCCCCCTCTAGCCGACACGATGCTTCGCACAATACCAGCCCGCGTCCTCCAGAGGGCCGCGCTGCGCCGCCCGTGCAACAAGGCCGCCGCCCGGCTCCTCTCGACAAGCGTCCGCTACGCAATGCCCGCCTCCCCGCTCCCACCCGTCGAGCCCCCCCTGACGGCCGCGCTGCCGTCGGACGCGTTCCAGATCCTCCCGGAGAAGCTGAAGGCGGGAGCGGCCGAGGACGCCCTGTACGAGCAGCAAATACGCGACGTCCAGGCATGGTGGGCCACACCGCGCTACGAGGGCATCACGAGGCCTTACACGGCCGACGACGTCGTGTCCAAGCGCGGCTCGCAGCAGCAGTCGTACCCGTGCTCGACCATGGCCAGGAAGCTGTGGAACCTGATCAAGGAGAGAGAGGCCAAGGGCGAGCCCATCCACACGAGTACGTGACCCCTGGGTGGTTGGAACAGCGGAGGAGGGCTGCGTGTTGGAAGTTTGGGCAGGCGACTAGAATGCAGCTAACACGTCTCCAAGTGGGCGCCATCGACCCGATCCAGATGACGCAGCAGGCCGCGCACCAAGAGGTCCTCTACGTGTCGGGCTGGGCCTGCTCGGCCGTGCTGACGACGACCAACGAGGTGTCGCCCGACTTTGGCGACTACCCCTACAACACGGTGCCGAACCAGGTGCAGCGCCTGGCCAAGGCGCAGTCCATGCACGACCGCAAGCAGTGGGACGCGCGCCGCAAGCTGTCGGCGCCGGACCGGGGCGCGAGCCCCTACGTCGACTACCTGCGGCCCATCGTGGCCGACGGCGACACGGGCCACGGCGGGCTGTCGGCCGTGGTCAAGCTCGCCAAGCTCTTCGCCGAGAACGGCGCGGCGGCGGTGCACTTTGAGGACCAGCTGCACGGCGGCAAGAAGTGCGGCCACCTGGCCGGCAAGGTGCTGGTGCCCACGGGCGAGCACATCAACCGGCTCGTGGCCGCGCGCTTCCAGTGGGACGTCATGGGGGTCGAGAACCTCGTCATCGCGCGCACCGACTCGGAGAGCGGCCGCCTCATCAGCTCCGCCGTCGACGTGCGCGACCACGAGTTCATCCTCGGCGTCTCCGACCCAGTCGTCGAGCCGCTCGCCGAGACCCTGCAGGCCATGGAGGCGCGCGGCGCCGCCTCGGGCGAGATCGACGCCTTCGAGTCCGCCTTCTCGCGCGACACGCCCCTCGTCACCTTTGACGAGGCCGCCGCCGCCCACCTCGGGCAGCACGCGTCCGAGCCCGCAGCGGTCGGTAAATACGCCGACGCCGTCGCCAAGGACCGCAGCATGGGCATCTCGGCCCGCCGCGCCCTCGCCAGGTCCCTGCTGCCCGCGGGCGCGCCCGACGTCTACTTCAGCTGGGACGTGCCGCGCACGCGCGAGGGCTTCTACCACTTCCGCGCGGGCATGGCGGCGGCCACCAAGCGCGCGCTGTCGTTCGCGCCCTACGCAGACCTGCTGTGGGTCGAGACGGGCGACCCGAGCGTGTCGGTGTGCCGCCAGCTAGGCCGCGCCGTCCGGTCGGCGCACCCGGGCAAGGGGCTCGTCTACAACCTCAGCCCGTCCTTCAACTGGGCCGGCCACGGCTTCAGCGAGCAGACGCTCAAGAGCTTCGTGTGGGACATCGCCAAGGAAGGCTTCGTCCTGCAGCTCGTCAGCCTCGCGGGCGTCCACTCGACGGCCGCCGCCACGTGCGAGCTGGCGCGCGGCTTCAAGGAGGACGGCATGCTGGCCTACGTTAACCTGGTGCAGCGCCGCGAGAAGGAGCTCGGGTGCGACGTGCTCACGCACCAGAAGTGGAGCGGCGCCCCCTACATGGACGGCATCCTTGGCGCTATCCAGAGCGGGAGCTCGAGTAGCAAAAGCATGGGCGCGGGCAACACCGAGGGCCAGTTTGAGTAGGGGGTTAGATATGTTGTATTAACTCACCTTATATATGTGTTAAGGGTTGGTTTGTTTCGCATTTCTCGAAGTTCCGGATGATAATAACGCATTTAACGCTACTTGTAAGCTTAAAAAGGGCATAAACGGATGTATTCATAATATATTTCAAACAAGGTTTTCCTTTAAGTGTATGTTAAAGCTTACTACCTTGCACTTACCCTGCACTTTTTAAAACTGCTTACCCTGCACTTACACTGAACTATTTATACTTACCCTGCACTTTTTTAAATTGTATTTTTAAAATACAACTTTTACTATGTTAAAACTACTTACCCTGTACCTACCCTGTACCTTTTGTACTAACCCTGCACTACTTACCCTGCACTTTTTACATTATGCTAATTAAACGCAACGACTTTTACCAAATTAAAATTTACTTACCCTGCACTTACCCTGCACTTTTTACATTATACCGATTAAACGCAACGACTTTTACCAAGTTAAAATTTACTTACCCTGCACCTACCCTGTACTTCTTTTACTTACCTTACACAAAATATGTAACGGGGTTGCTTAAAGCGTTAACTACAAAAGCTTCGGGGTTTAATATACTGTGGTGCCAAAAGGTTTAATTACGAAGTGATTGAATTGTCGGATCTTTTGGTTTATGTAGTAAAGCGGTATTTTAGCACGTCCCCCTTATAAAATAAGCTAACAAAAACGCCTTCTTTTCCTTGGCCCATGAACGCCATCGATATCCACCGCGAAAGAAAAGTCGTGTAACTCTCGAGGCTAAAAAAGACACTCCAAGCCGGAAAACCATGCTACCTACATACCTCTAGGCAGGCACCGACTGAGAAACGCCACCCCTACCACCGACAACCGCGGCCCCAGACGCCAGCGCGTCGCCGGCGTCAAAGCTAATCTCGGGCAGCGGGCGGCCCTTGCCCGACGGCCACGGCAGGAACTTAACGGTGGCCAGGTAGCGCAGGTAGCGGCCGACGTCCTCGCGGCCGATGCCGTAGCCGGCGCTCTCGTCAACGCCGGTCCAGTTCTCGGCGTCGGCCTTGAGGACCGCGACGGCGTTCTCGTCGTCGAGCTCGGGCGCCTTGGTGTTGGCGGGCAGGTCCGAGATGCAGAGGTGGAAGAGCGGCAGGAGCGCGTGCTGCTCCTGGTCGCGCTCGACGCCGCCCCCGGCCGACACGTAGCGCTCCAGCTCCCCCTTCCAGGACCCGTACCCGACCTCGGGCACGCGGTAGCCGTAGTACTCGAGCAGCGACAGGTACTCGCTCATGCGCAGGCGCGGGTGGCCCGTGACGTGCACGACGCCGACGCCGCCGCCGCCGGGGAGCGGGTTGAGCGCCGCGGCCGCCACGACGCGCGCCACGTGGTTGACGGGCACCGAGTTGACCGTGTTGACGATGCGGGGGCGCGAGCCCAGCTGGATGCAGCCCTTGAGGAAGCGGATCAAAAAGTCGTCCGTGTTGCAGCAGCCCGACTCGCTGTCGCCCAGGATGTAGCCCGGCCGCACCACGGAGCCCCTGAGGCCCCTGCGCCCGGCCTCGCGCGCCAGCTGCTCCGACATCCACTTGGTCTGGCCGTAGCCCGTCGACAGGCCCGCCGCGCTGCCCTCGAGGTCGTCCGACTCGGGCACGGCGCCCTGGCCCGTGCTGAGCTGGCGCTCCGACAGGCTCACGTAGTGCTCGTTGTCCAGCACGCTGGTCGAGCTGACGTAGGTGAAGAGCTTGGGCCTGCCCTCGTTGCACAGCCGCATCGCGTCCACCGTCGACGTCACGTTGGCCGCGAGCATGTCCTGCCAGCGCCGCACCCAGTGCACCGTGGCGCCGTTGTGTATCACCACGTCCACCTCGCCCGCCAGCCGGTCCCACACCGTCTGCTCCATGCCGAGCTGCGGCTTGGACAGGTCGCCGACGGCCACCGACAGCCGCGACGCCCACTCGTCCCTCCAGAGGCCGTAGCCCTGCAGCGAGCGCCGCAGCCGCTCCGTGGCCGCCTTCTCGTCCTTGGCCCGCACGTGTGCCACCAGCCTGACCTGCCGGCTCGTGCGCTGCAGGATGTCGCGGATGAGGAAGGCGCCCAGAAAGCCCGTCGCTCCCGTCAGGAAGACGGTCGGCCGAGACGACGCCCGGATGGTGGCCGGGTCGGCCGACTGGTACCGGGCAGGGAGCTGCTTGACGAGATCGTCGCGCGCCCTGGAGTACGAGTCCGCCTCCGACTCGGGCGCGGTGCCATCCGCACCGTCGGCGCCTGCCGAGCCAAGATGCTTGTCGATCTGGGCGCTAAAGGCCGCAAGGGTGGGGTTCGCGTACAGCGTGTTGATCGACACGCTGGCGCCCGTGTCCTTGCGGACGTCGAGCAGCATCTGCTGCGCCAGGATGCTGTGCCCGCCGAGATCGAAGAAGTCGTGCTCGGGCGCGATGGTCTTGACGTTGAGACCTCGGATCAGCGACGCCCACTTAGTAGCGACCCGCTTCTCCGTCTCGCTCAGCAAGTCCCATCGCTTGAGCTCCTCGCCCGAGGCCTCGGTCGTCTGCTCGGCGATATCAGGGAACGGCAGGTTCGGCTTGTCCACCTTGCCGTTGGGGTTCAGCGGCAGCCTCTCCAGGACGATGAAGAGGGTCGGCACGGCATAAGCCGGGAGGCGGCCCTTGAGGTGGTCGCGGAGCTCAGTCTGCAGACGTCTGAACCGCTTGAAGAAGACTCTGGTCGGGCCGAGCTTGACACCAGCATCGTCCTCGGCATCCTCGTGTCCCTGGGCCTTGAGCCACAGCGGCCACTCCTTCAGCTCCGGCACCACGTAGCTGACCAGCGAGGGCTCCTCGTTGCGGTCACGGCGCACCAGAGTCTTGCAGTCTCGGATCAGCGAGCTCTGGCTGAGGTTGCTGTCGATATCGTTCAGCTCGATGCGGAAACCCCTGATCTTGACCTGGTCGTCGGCGCGGCCGGTGCACTCGACGTCGCCAGACTCGAGGTACTTGCCCAGGTCTCCGGTGCGGTAGAGACGGTCGCGGGGGCCCTTGTAGTACTTGCGCCACGGCTGGCCCTGGCTGGGGTGTTGTTTGTCTGCCTCGACCCACTTGTTGTTGTCGACAAACCAGTTGTCGAGGAACTTTTGCTCGTTCATGACAGGGTCTCCCTTGTAGCCCTCTCCCAGGCCTGCCGCTCTGACGTAAATCTCGCCGACCTCGCCCACGCCGCAGAGCTTGGTCTTGTCCTCGCGGTTGACGACCAGAAGCTGGACGTTCTGCATGCCCCTGCCGGCGGGAATGGTGTCCTTGTCCAGCCTGTCCAGGAAATCCGGGTCCGTAGCACGGTTTGGCACAAGGTAGTAGCTGACGGCCCTGCTCGTCTCGGTGGTGCCGTACATGTTGACTATGTCCACGTTGGCGGCCAGCTTCCGCAGAGTGCGGCAGTCGCGCGACGTCAACACATCACCGACGAAGAAGGCGGTCTTCAGGGCGGGGAACTCGGCAGAAGCGCCACCGACTAGGATCTGTCCCATGGCCGGTGTGAGGTGCGTCACGGTCGGCTCGAACTCGCGGAACCACTCGGCCAAGCGCTCGTGAGCGATGTGCTCCTTGGAGGGCACCAGGAGCTGGGCACCGAGGAATAGAGGGGTGAAGATGTCGCGCTGGACGGGATCGTGAGCGATGCCCGATAGCAGTGTGAAGCGGCTCTCGCCGCTCAAGCCAAAGGTCTCGGCCATCCAGGAGAAGTACTTGGCAAGGCTGTAGTGGCGGCCCAGCACGCCCTTGGGCCGGCCCTCGGAGCCCGAGGTGAAACTGAGCGTCGGGTTCGAGTCCGGACCGACCAGGACGTCTGCGGGCGGGGCGGCCGCCTTGCCGCGCACGCTGGCGAAGACGTCCCTGCCGTCCATCTCTCCGCCAGACAGGAAGCCATTGTCGCCGATTCGGAGGGAGGGCACCTCTGCCTTGAGCTTGAGCTCCTCGTCGATGTACTTGCGGACCAGGGGGGCGAGGGGGCCGGCCTCGTCGGTGGCACGGGCGATGTTGACGAGCGCCGTCGGGCCGGACACTTCGAGGTAGATCTGTTGTCGCGCAGGAGGGTATAGCGGATCGAGGACGCTGAAGGTTGCGCCAGATGCCTTGAGTCACAGCAACCGCTCGTTAGCATCATAGTAGTATAGCAGGCGCGGCTAGAAGACCTCAAGAAAGCAAGAAAGAGGACAAGGGGGGCAGAAAACTCACCAGGACGCCCATTATGCTAACCACCAGATCAACGGACCGATGGGCCCAGATCATGACAACATCGCCATTTGTGACGCCGGCATCGTGCAGGTAGTGCGCCAGAACATTGGATGCCTCGAAGATCTGGCGATATGTGTAGGACCTCTCGGGGCCCTCGGACGACTTGGTCTCGACGACGCAGACGCGGTCTGGGTGCTTATGGGTGTTGGCGGCAAAGATCTCGTGGATTGCGCCAATGTGACCGGACCAGTCGAGGTCTATAGTCGGGTCGGGGAGCTGCGCCATTGCGAGTTGAGTGTGCCGGGAACTTGTTTCGACACGGTCTTGGGGGCGGACAAAGATGACGCCAGGAAACACGAGCCGGCCTGGAATCGTTTATAAGGCGGGGTTTATGGCGGGATCGCGACGAAACATCGTCACAGAATCATAACCCAGCAGACGAGACGTGACTCTTTTCCAAAAATATCCGCAGGGGTAAAATTTCCAAGTGACGTGCGACATCGGCCCCCTCAGAACCACAACTGATGCGGGGCACTCATCATAGCGAGGGGTTGTGGGTGGAGCACTGGCGCGTTGATGGAAGGGCGTGTTAAGCCTCAAACGGCTCCTAGCACGTATTTAGCCAAAATGGTGCGCTAATCTTGACGAACTGGGGGCTCAAGTAGTACGGGGGGACGTTCATGAGAGTGAGATCTTGGGCATACAGAAAACACGAATGAAGATTGACATCAAGCAAAGGGGAGCCCAGCCGACTAAGGAACCCCCACCCTTTGCCGTGATTGACAACTTGCAGGGAGATGTGTTGAGCTCCAAACGGCTCCCCCCC